AGAGTCTGCATCAATGTCCCCTGTGTCAGCACTGCTGGGATATTTACTAGAAATTCGAAGTCATGCACTGCCTCCCAGACTTAGGGAATCAAGAGCTCTAGGGACAGGGCTTAGCACTCTGTGTTGAATCAAGGTGGTTTTCCACATACTGAAGTTTCAGAACTACTAGTGGTCATAAGGATTAGGACTTAATTGTCTCACAGAGGAACCCAGGTTGAAAAAAGGCTGTTAAAAGCTTCAAATATCTGTATCTGTATTTGTATCTATATCTATCTCAGTTTAAAATGAAAAACATATATCCCTTCAAACAGATTTTTTTTTTAAAGTAGTGTTTCTAGATGGAAAAGTGATTTGCTTTTCCAGTCCACTTTGGTAGATTGCTCTATTATTTTGCCCATTCATGAAATTTATAACAAATGTGTTCATTGCAGCTGTTCCCTGGGTCTGCATTCATGTTCTGCCTGGGTGCCTCCCTGACCCACTGCCAGTTTTATAAACACACATAGCCCTTCCTGAGAACTCACAAAGCAGGACAGATCCTAGGGTAGAACTCCCACCCCCACCCCAGACAAACGAAAAGTGATATAATTACTGTGCTGCAGGATTGAATCTGGAGTTGATGAGGAGCAACTTTAATATTTATCAATAAACAGCAAAGTGCTTAGCACACCTCCTAGGGAAGTCATTAACCACAAAAAGTACACTCCACACCGAGGAATCTCCTCCAAAAACAGAACTCAGTTAATTGTGAATTGCTTACGCCAAGTGAGAGAGAATTGGTGTCTACCCCTCTCACCTGACATAAGCAACTCTGAATTAACTGGGAGTTTCTTTTTATAAACACCGTGCAGCCCTTTTTCTTTTTCTTTTTTTTTACTTTGTGGTTAATTACTTCCTTGGGAGGTTTGCTTTAATAGTTCCCATAACAAGGCCATTATTGTCTTTAGCGTAATCATTGCCTCATTTGCTTTTGTGCCCTGCCTTTGGACTGCTTTGTCTCTGCCAGCCAGGGGGGATCCTGAATTGTGTCTGGTGGGCAACCTTTAGGCCCTGAGACCCTGTGAGCCTCTTTTAGCTCCACCACTTCAGTAATTTGGTTTTGGCCAGGTGGGAGCTGAGATCAGGGGAAGCGCTGGTGGGGAGGGAAATGGGTAAGGCAGGGCATGCTGGGGAGACAGTCCCCCAGAGTTCCCTCTCTCCCCTCTTTGCGGCATTCCAGCCATTTGTTATGCTTTCAGCTGTTGACACCAGGAACGGGGAAGGGAGCCAGGAGAGCAGCTCCTTTCTGGAAGTAGAAGCTGATCTGTAAGCAACCACTGTGCTCAGTGAAATCACCAGGGAGGCAGAAGGGAAAACAGTGAACCTTACCAGCAAAAGTCGTGTGATTCTGACTTGGAAAAAAAAAAGCATTATGTAGTTATGCCTTAACTTGTTAAAAAATGAATTAAAGTGCCTTCTCTTTTGGCTCTGTTTCAGGAAAGAGAAAATGAATGAATGGGAGCCCTGTAAACTGCATCAGTTCTGTAAACTGTTTTGACTGTGTACTCCTATGAGTGTATGTACATCTGTTTATTTACAAATTACATATAGGCACAATAGCAATTATAAATTATGGAAACTGCAAAATAGCCATTAGGAGGATAAGAAAAAGTAAAAATAGAATGACTCTATACTGTCATCCACCACCCTGATGGATTACACCCCAATCTGGACACCACTGAAAGGACCTGTTGGGGCCATGAAGGCAGTAGCTGACTTTGACTTGGTCACTGATATTCCTACATTTCAATGACTGGTCCAAGGTGGCACTATATACATTTTTGTTAAATCAAATGATTGGACTCATTGATCTTCTTACACTCTGGAACAACTTCTGCCCCCCGGTGAATTCTGATCAGTTAGTAATTTTGGTGGGGGCGGATAACACACCTGAACTACCATCTAGGGAATATTCTACAGTGTTCTTAGATCAGGTGGCCCATGTGCTAACCCAACCTCATTTAGCCCCAGAATCTTAGCACGCCATCAGGAAGAAACATGGGGAAATTCAGCTCAAAGGTTTACAATAGGGAATAGAAAACTTTTCCTGTAGAGGGCCAGAGAGTAAATGTTTTAGGCTTTGATGGCCAAGTGGTTTTTGTTGTGACTCCACTCTGACCTGGAGAGTGAAAGCTGTCCTAGACAAAACAGACACAAATTGCAAGGTACTTTGAACTGACTGCACCATGGACTATACCATAGTCAAGCCACGGTGACCCCTGTGGCCTGCATGCACACTTCCAGATGGCCTCCTGGAGCCAGAAAGCCTAAGGTGACAGAAAAATCGCAAAAGGAGAACAGCTAGCTCCTGCAGTGCCTGATTAACCAAGCTTGTGACAGTCCACCACTGTTCCTGCCTCAAATGATAAGTCAACCTTGTGACACTGGACCCTGGGACACCCCCCACCAGCTTGCAAAAAACTTCCCTAAACTGTAACTTTCCATTACCTACCCCAACCTATAAAGCCAGCTTCTATCCCACCACCCACTGCTGACTCTCTTTTTGGACTCAGCCCACTTGCACCTGAGTGAATAAACAGCCTTGTTGCTCACACAAAGCCTGTTTAGGTGGTCTCTTCATTCAGAGCACACTTAACACAAAGGGGCATGGTTATATTCCAATAAATGGAGAGGTGTGGGCTAAGGGGTACAAAGTGTCAGTGATACAGATAAAGAAATTCTGGAGATCTACCACATAGCATAGTGTCTACAGCTAACAGAGTAGTGTATACTCAAAATTTGCTAAGAGGGTAGATCTCACGTTAAAATGTTCTTACCATAAAAACTTCTAAAACCAAAAAAAATCACCCCAAAACAATAATAACAAAGAGAGCTGTGTGGCAGGCCAGGTCTCACCAATAGCTGCACAGGCAGACCTCCATGACAACTGTTTTGCACTGAATGAATGGTTAGCTTACATATTAAAGGTGGAAAGAACCAGCCCGCTTACACAAAGGCTGGAAGGTAACAAAAGCCCACCAAGAGTCTTGCCTAGGCTTTTCCTAGGCCTTGAATCTTGACAAGATAACAAAGGAATCTTAAATTCCTGATAACAAGGCCCGTTTAGGATTAAACAAGTTTTATTGGGAGTCTAAAGGAATTCCTCAGACCTCCACACCTTAGCTGGAGACAAGATAAGGGTACTCACACCTGGCACCAGGACCCCTTTAGATTGAGAAAATTTACTGAGGTTCCGGAGGAAGGTCTCCAGGACCCAAACCTTAGTTATAGATTAGATGGAATCAGTCACTTTTGTCTTCAGATGAATGCACAATTACAGGTAGACGTACAGCTTAGAAGGTATATATGCACTGGAAAACTTTGTAATTTTGAATTGGTCTGGTGAATTACCTCCAGCCTTCTCCCTGTACCTGGGAGAGTTGATTTCTGCAACCAGAGAGTTTATTTCTTTCCTGATTGTCTGCATCTCATTATTGGACCTCAAGAACAAGCAGCCCAGCCCTCAGTTCATTCAGTAGGAAGAAACTTTGGGAGGTGATGGACATGTTTATGGCCTTGATGGTTTCATAGGTGTATACTTATTTCCAAACTCACTGAGATGTTTACTTTACTTTCCACAGTAACTGTGGTCCAAAATATTAAATGGAAAATTCCAGAAATAAACAATACATAAGTTTTAAATTGCAGGCTGTTCTGAGTAGCTCGATGGAATCTCTCGCTGTCCTGCCCTGTTCCATCTGGGCTGTGAATCATCCCTTTGTCCAGCATATCCACACTGTAGACACTGACTGCCCATTAGTTACTTAGCGGCTGTCTCGGTCACCAGATGGAAAAAATACAGTATGGTCTACATAGAATTAAGTCCTATCCATGGCTTCAGGCATCTACAGGAAGTCTTGATACATATCCCAGCAGACAGGGGAGGGCTACTGTATATCAAATATGCACAGCTTTTATTTTTTGAGATAGAGTTTTGCTCTTGTTGCCCAGGCTGGAATGCAATGGCATGGTCTCTGCTCACTGCAACCTCCACCTCCCAGCTTCAAGTGATTCTCCTGCCTCAGCCTCCCAAGTAGCTGGGATTACAGGCACACAACAAGATGCCTGGTTAGTATTTGTATTTTTAGTAGAGATAGGGTTTCACCATGTTGGCCAGTCTGGTCTCCAATTCCTGCCCACCTCAGCATCCCAAAATGCTGGGATTACAGGCATGAGCCACTGTGCCCAGCCACATGCATAGCTTTTTATATGTCAATTATACCTCAATAAAGTGATTTAAAAATTTATAAACAGCAAAATTTGAATTCCACATAATCAAATATTGTTCTTTTTATGATTTTTTCCCCCAACCATTAGAAATGTTGAAACTATTTTTAGCTTCCAGGCCAGGTTTGGTCCATGGACCATAGTTTGCTGGCAACTGGTTACAATAGCCACTTTGGAGTCACAGTTGGGTTTGGGTCTCAATTTTACTAAAGGTGGCTGGATTGTCTTGAAAGACTTACTTAGTTATTCTTCAGGCCTCGGTTTTCTCATCTGTAAAGTGACATCTCAAAGGACTGTAAGGATGAAGTCATCAGGCATTGCCTATGACAGCTTAGTGCAGTATGAGGAACAGATTGTCATCCTCATTGTCACCAACTGTTACACACAGCCCTGAAAGGTCTGGCAGGACCAGTCACCCTGAAGGCAGCACCAGGGCCCAGCTGTGGCAATGGGCGCTTGGGAATTCTCAGCCAGCATCAATCCCCAGTGCCTCCTTTCTGTGGCAATGGGCACTTGGGAATTCTCAGCCAGCATCAACCCCCAGTGCCTCCAGCCGGTGTCTCCTGGAGTCCCCCGCTGGCTTAAGGACACTCGTTCTCTGCTGCATTTGCTTCGAAGGAAATCTTACATTTGACAATAATACAGGGGAGGTCTTTCAGAAGGAAAATGACTCATGACGAAAGCATGGACAATGCTGTGCTCGTAGGGCTGGGAATGAGAAGACGCGTGCTCACCTCCCTCATTATCCTTGTTATCAGCACAGGAAGTTTCCATGGCAACGTTGCATCCGGGCCCTCTCCAGCCGGTCTGGCAGACACACTGCCAGCTGTTCTGACCCAGTGTGCATCTCCCGTTACCGTTGCACAAGTCAGGGCAGCCATCTGGTTGGAGAAATGGAGAGGATGAGAAGGACGGACGTGAGGCTGCGCTGGGGAAGCAGGGGAGCCATGCAGAGGGGAGCAAGGCCGCAGGGCAGCCGCTGGGCCAGCCTCACAGTGGGGCCCGCGCCTGCCTTCCAGAGAGTGGGGGGAGCAGGCAACGCATGCAGCAGCAAGACAGAGTGGGGTCGCAGATGCAGGGGATCCCCAGTGACAACTGACCTAGGTCAGAGGCAACCTTCCCAAAGTGGGGAGTTCAATGCACATCCCAGACAACTAAACAGTGTTAAGCCGACAACCAGACTAGCGAGGCTGTGATTTCCAGCCAATAGCTCAGGATTGATGCTACTGAAAAGAAGCTTTTCTTTCTTTTTTTTAAAGAAGTGCTCTTCTGTAGAAGAGAAAAAAATTCCCTATCAACCCAGGATGGAGGCAAAGTGCCCGCCATCTTTCAGAATCTTAAAGATATATTTACATAGGATTATCATGAGCTTCTCATGACCAAAAACTGGATGGTTTTGCTGGGCTATTTTCATATGCTTATACAGGTAATATTTAGTTTTAAGGGGCACTTAAAGATGTTGGCTGCTTATCACTCAACCCATATATGGCACGATTTAAAAATACTGCAGAATTTGAAGGCTGTGGAGGGAATGGATGCTGGATGCCATGAATTGGGGAAAGATAGAAGAAAAATATATGTGTTTGGGGGAAAGGCGATGGGGTAGAGGTAATTCTTATTTTGTGGATTTCTTTTCCTTTTTTGGTGTGTGCGTGTGTGTGTGTGTGTGTTTGTATGTATATGCTCACGTGTGTGTGCAAAATCAGCTGCCTATGTATTTCTCTAATTACTCCAGCACTCAAAACAACAGCAGCCACCACTCTCCTGACCTGAGTTTGGACAAAAGGAGTCTGGGAAAGGTCTCCCTAGCAGAGCCTCTGAGGCTTTTTATAATAACAGGTAGGAGAGAAGCAGAGAATGGGTAGGATGTGGCCACACTCACAAAACCCACATTCTGGCAAGAATTCCTAGACATATTTTCATTTTTCTTCCTTTTAATGGCTTTAATGGGGCATAATTTACACACCATAAAATTCACCTCTTTAAAGTGTACAATGCAATGACTTCTAGTAAATTTGCAGAGTTGTGCACTTGGGATATATTTTTTTACTTCATTTAAATATACCCCAATGACCATTAATTTAATTTTCCCCAGAAAGTAATTTCCTTGAATATCTATGTCTATCTTGAATCCTATCTCTACCTCTTACACCATCTCTATTTCCATCTTTTTCTATGTCAATTTTTAAATTACATAAAGTGCAGGTTGGTTTGGGCCATGATGAAGGATAAAAAGCCTTGTAATGATGGAGGTAATTGATTTGAAACCTTCCTGACCCAAATCTTGTGAATCAAAAGGATGCATCTCCCCTACTCCTCTTTCCAGTGTTCCAGAGGCCTTCACCTAACATCTTCCTTCTTTTCTCTGGAGTACCCCTTATGAGAATGCTGATAAACCTAATATATGCGTACGGCAATGGTAGGGACTTGAGACACGGTCTCACCCTACCATCCAGGCAGAGTGCAGTGGCATGATCATAGCGCACTGCCACCTTGAACTCCTGAGCTTGAGTGATCCTCCTGCCTCAGCCTCCTTAGTAGCTAGGACTGCAAGTGTGCACCACCACACCCAGCGAATATTTTTAAAAAATTTTTAGTAGTCATAGGGACTTGCTATGTTGCCCAGGTTAGTCTTGAACTCCTGGCCTCAAATGATCCTCCAGCCTTGGCTTCCCAAAGTGCTAGGATTACAAGCATGAGACATTGTGCCTGGCCAGTGGTAGGAATTTAAAGACATATTCCTAAGAAGCAAGGTCTCAGGGTATGCAGTTAAGTTTTACTTCTTTAAGAAGAGGAGTTTCACTCTTCAGTGCTTGCTGCCTCTCATCCTTTCCAGAAGGTGGTATTGGATTAGGATCTGAGACAGGAGGGCATGCAACAGAGGAGACCTAACGTGGGGCAGTCCCTAGGGAAGCCGAGCTATCTTGAGAGGGGAAACGGGGAGACTTACCAAGGAATCCGTTTTCTTTTGTTGCACAGCCTGGCACTAAGTCCAGCAGGCAAGTAAAGCACCAGTGTGTGCACACCTGGAGAAAGTCTTGTTTGGTCTACATACCTCTCCTCACAAAGCCCAGATACACATCTCCATCCTGACTGTGGCCCTACCTGGAAAACCCCTGCTCTCTTCATACCATGAGCGGGAGTGGAGAGGAAAAGCCACCCCCAGTTGCAGAGAAATGCCACATATATTTCTGCAGGAACAAAATGAGCTCAGTAGGAAAAGCCCAAGGGACATTTCACAGGTTCTCAAGGAAAAGAGAATTTCTCCAACCTCCAGCTACCTTCAGCTTTAACAATTTCTATTGGTAGAGTTTTGGGGAATGGATCACAGAAAATACACTAAATGACAGACCTACCAACATTTGCTCAGCATGGTATCTATTTGGAGGTGCTTTGTTATTTAGCTACTTTGAGGTCTTGTGTCTGACTAAATTCATGTCCAGTGTGTCAACAGAAGCCTCATTGTGTAGGAAACGCACGTCCGCTCCAACAAATTTAAATTTGCAAAAGACACTAGTGTGTCAGTCAGAGATATGCACTCAAAATATGTATATTTCTAGGTTGAATGAGGCTTTTTTTCACCCCTTCTCTTTCTCTCTTGCTTCCTCCCCACTCTTCCCCTGCCGACCAACTAAAGTGAGATAAACAGACCACAGTAGCAGGTTTTCTCCACATCATATGAGGAAGATGAAAACACAAACCGTAGGAAGCTGGCAAATCTCTGAGAAGTTTCAGGGTGGCTGGGAATTAACGGACAGGACTTTGCTTTTAGCTTGAAGAAGGAGAAAACAGCCCTGGTATGTGCATGGCGTTGCTAGGCAACCCCAAGCTAACCCCAGCACAGGTTCATTCTACTGGTGGCCTTCTGAGGAGGTGATCCTTTGTGTTTGTAAAGTGCAAAGCCAGTTTCTGCTTAAGGAAAAACAAAACCTAGGAAGTAATTAGTCTGGAGGGCAAATGGGTATGAGGTAGAGGCTTTTCTCTAGAGAGGATGCTATAACTGAAGTGGGATTGGGCTAATGGGATTATACTGGGGCATCCAAGAAGTCTCCAAAGGAAGTCTTCTGGATTTCAGGCTACTATTGCCTGTCTCCAAGACAGCAGTGTAAAGCCCCTTCAAGCCTACCTGTTTGGTTCCTTTTTCATAGAACTAGAGAGAGCTGGCTGCCTGGAGACTGTTCTATCATGACCCTATACCAGTGGTCCTCAACTCAGGCAATTTTGTCCCCGTTTCTCTCCAGGAAACATTTGGCATTGTCTGAAGACACTTATTTATTTATTTATTTGGAGTCTCATTCTGTCTCCCAGGCTGGAGTGCAGTGGGGCAATCTTGGCTCATGGCAACCTCTGCCTCCCTGGTTCAAGCAATTCTCCTGCTTCAGCCTCCCGAGTAGCTGGGACTACAGGCGCGTGCCACACCAGGCTATTTTTTTTTTGTATTTTTAGTAGAGATGGGGTTTCACGGTATTAGCCAGGCTGGTCTTGATTTCCTGACCTTGTGGTCTGCCCACCTTGGCCCCCCAAAGTGCTGGGATTATAGCCTTTTTATTTTTTGAGACCGAGTCTCACTCTGTTGCCTAGGCTGGAGTGCAGTGGTGCAATCTCGGCTTACTGCAACCTCCACCTCTCAGGTTCAAGCGATTTTCCTGCCTCAGTGTTAGACACAAGAAGTCTCTCTTCAAAGCGTTTAGTTTATTTAGTTCCCTTGTTCTTTGTTCCCCCTTTGAAGGCCAGATTTCCTTATCTTTTGAGCTTCCCTGCCCTAGTTTCAGTCAACAACTACAAAGCCCACATCTACTACTCACTCTGTAAATTACTCCTCCCGTGGCAATAGCTCTTCCCACCATAACTGCCCTTACCGCTTCATTACACACACCCCATACACTCCTCAAGTTAGCCAATCAAGTTCAGCTTAAATTATACAGTCCGACTCCAGCCAACAGAGGCAAAACACAATACCAAAAACACACTGCGTTAAAAATAAAAACCCCTTCTTTATTCAGTGTACTCATAACAACCAGCCCTATAAACAACACCCTTCTACAAAAATAAATTTGCCTTACTAAAAACTCCTTTACTCAAATACTCATTTTCTTTACAACTCCAAACTTTTATTCCCAACACTCAGCCTCCCGAATAGCTGGGACTACAGGTGTGTGCCACCAAACCCAGCGGATTAAAAAAAAACATATACATATGAAAAGTGATTGGCCCACCTCAGCCCCCAAAGTGCTGGGATCACAGCACTCCAGGCATGAGCCACCATGCCCAGATGGGAGATATTTTTGATTGTCACAATTTGAGGAGAGTATTGCTGGCATCTTGTTGGTAGAGGCCAGGGATGCCATCCAACATCCTGCAATGCACAGGACAGGCCCCACAAAGAAGAGTGATGACAGCCTGAAATGCTAACTGTGCTAAGGTTGAGAAACCTGGCCTTAGACATAAACCCCCGTGAGATCCATGATATGGTTGCTTGCTTTTGAATCCCAGAGCTTGGCCTGGTTTTAGGCACACAGAAGGTGTGAATGAAATGAATAAAAACAGTCAGGGGGCGCTATATCTTTTCTGTCTGCCTGCCCCATAGCTATAAACTCTCCTAAGAGTCATGAGCAGATAATAGAAACTTCCTCTCCAAGATCAAAAGTTCTCTTCCCAGGGAGAATTTTCAAGGATACCAGTGATATGGTGGGCTAGTTCTGTCATATTCGAACCTATAGATAGAGAGAGCTGATGTGGAAATATGGGATTAAAGGAAAAAAACCCACTCTGGAAGGCCAAGGTGGGTGGATCCCCTGAGGTTAGGAGTTTGAGACCAGCCTGGCCAACATGGCGAAACACTGTCTCTACTAAAAATACAAAAATTAGCTGGATATGGTGA